GAGAAAAAGGTAAGGGGAGAACAGACAGACAAGCAGCAGACAATCTCTGTTACTCTATAACCAGGTCGTTTGAGCATAAGCCTGGGATATTGCAGACAGAATGTGAAGTCCCCATTCTGCCTGATTTTAAGTGGCATTCACTGCTACTTTCAGAAAGCAGTACTGAATTAGTTATTTGGATTTAAATTTAGAACTTTGGGTCAGCATAAACCAAACAGATGCCCCCCAAAAATGACACACATACATGTGCAGTAAAACTCAAGCTTTCTAAGAAAGAAGGTTTTTCACATGGTTTATCATCACAGAATCTAAGTGGATACAAGGCCAAGACCCGAGTTAGGAGGTAGGATGCAGCATGTTATGGGAACTGCACAGTACACTGCATGGACATCATTGTTAGGAGCTGAGAACTGGCATGCTTCTAAAACATGCACTAAGAGCACTGCACTGACACAGGTGAAGGGGACTGAGAATGGGCATATACAGGCCCATAAACAGTAAAATCAGAGGAGAGGGCTTGAGAACATCTATTCAGATGATAAGACAGTTCACACCTTTCTGAGCTAATGTTTGACTGTATTCATATCAACACGGCATTCTCATTCATGTGAAAACGTCTGCTTGCAGTGAATGGAATACAGAACTGGAGGGGTCCACCTGGGTCATTCAAGTCCAGTCCTTGATACCCTCCTAGGCAACTATATCATCCAATCCCGTTCATAATTTTTTCGAGCTCCATCTGTAAACCAAGTGGGCATTTGCTTCGAGTACCCCTGTAGCAGAACCGTACTCACTCTATAGTTAGAACAGGGGTAGGCAATAATTTCAAGCGGAGGGTTGCTTACCAAATTTCCGCAAGCTGTTGAGGGCCACATTGGTAGCCCTGCCCCTTGACAGAGGCCCTGCCCCCTGGTCACCATCTTGTGACTGGAAGTCCCGCCCCCTAACCCATGACCTTTGCCAGCAGAAGTCCTTCCCCTTGCCATCAGAAATACTCCTTTCAACAAGGGGTTTTGCCATCTCAGAAACAGAAAAATACCAAATTATATTCTAAAAAGCAAACATCTACAACATTCATTAATTAGATTTGAAAAAAAAATGTTTGTCTGGTTTACATGCATTTGTGTAGTGTACATAGAGGTGATTGCACAATAGCTTAAAATTAAGTCTTACTCTTGTATATTGTGGGGGGAGTGGGGGGCTGTTAGTGTGTGGGTATGTGGGGAAGGGTGTGGGTGTGTGAGTGTGGGGTGATGGAGCATGTGGGTGGGTGTGTGGATATGTGCGGTGAGGGTGGGTATAGGGTTTGTGGGGGATTGTGTGGGGGAGAGGGTGGCTGGGGTGTGCGGGGGGGGGTGTGGGTACATGTGTATGGTGGGGGGTTGTATAGGGCTTCCCCCATGAACACACACACACAACACACACACACACACACACACACACCCTCTCCTCATCCATCCCCCAGTCTCTCCCACACATACAGTCTCTCCCACACATACAGTCTCTCCCTCCCTCATTGCTCTCTGTCTCTCTCCCCCTCCCTCATTCCAGGGACACACACACATGCACCCCCACCCCCTCCTGCTTCTGGCCCTGGGGTACCCGAGCGGCCCTGTGCTCCATGTTGCAGCCAGGGGCCACGTGGTGCCAGAGCAGCTTGCAGGGAAGCTGTAAAAACCGTGGCAGGCAGACACTTCCGGGTGAGGGGGCAGGGCCAGGCTGGCCTTTCTCTCGACTCTAGCCGGTTTTCCCTGGGTCCTGCTTCCCTTGGATCCTGTCATCTTTGACAGCAGCCAAGAGCAGATAAATACACATTTTCTAGATGTTTTAGGGGCCCTGCAGGCCAGACAGAATGGCTTGGCAGGCTGCATCTGGCCCATGGGCCAGTACTTTGCTCACCCCCGAGTTAGAAATTTCTTTATTTCCAGCCTAAACCTATTCAGTGCCAGTTTATAGCATTGTGTTCTTATGCCAGCACTGTCCTCTAGCTTAAATAGGTTTCTCACTCTTCAGTGTTTCCACTCTCTGCCCCTGAGAGCAATCAGATCTCTTCTCAGCTTTCACTTTTCAGGACTAAGCAAGCCAATCTCTTTTAGTCTCTTCTCATAATACAGGGCTTCTACTCTCCTTGCTGTCCCAGTTGCCCTTCTCTGTACTTGTTCCAGTTTGAATTCATCTTTCTTGAACATGAAGGACCAGAATTGCATACAGTATTCCAGATAAGTTCTGGAAATGACCTTGCTTAATGACATTAATACTTCCTTCCTCTAATCAAAATACCTCACTGAATATACTTTATGATGATATTTGGCTTTCTTATGATCACATCACACTGGTGGTGAATATGCATCCTGTGACCAAGTAATATACCAAGGTCATTTTTGTTTTTTTGTCATTTCTAGATGAGCCACCATTTGATAGGGACTAATAAGAATTTATTCTAAGTACATGACATTGCACTTTGTATATTAAATCTCATTCCATGTAAATTATTGTTTTCTTCCAAGTCATCCAATTCTTCATGTATTCTGATCGTCCTTCATATAAAAATGTCACTTAATTTACCATCATCAGCATACTTCATTCATACTCCAAGGTCATTAATGAAAATATGAATCCTACTATCTATGGAAATTATACTTAAATGTGGAGGAGACTTTCTATTCTCAGTCCCCAAGTTCTTCAGTCCAATTGACTGTACTACACTTATATCTCACAGTTCGCTCTTTCAGAATGGAAAACAATAGTTACCAACCTGCTTGTTTATCTTCCTATTTAATGTAAACTGAATCAACCCGATGATCACCCAATTCAAGCTTATTTTCTATAATCAGCTCTCCTGTAATATCCCCTGTTACCTAGCATCAAGTCCAAGAAAAATATTTCTACTAGTTCATGGACAGTTTGGTGAAGAAATCTATCTAATACACATCTAAGAATACATGAACTTAAGAATACATCTAAGTTATATCGTGTCCATAATGACAAGTGCAAGTAGTATTTCACTCTGTAATAGTACAGGTAACTTTATCCATAGGCTCTAAGACAGGTTCCTAATGGTTGTGTCTCCAAAGGCACATTCAAATTTTAAAGGAAAAGCAGCGGGTGCCAATATGACAGAATTTTTTGTTGGAATAATGATTTTTACTGATCGTGAAAATGCACGCAAGCACCTGAATAAACCTCAGGGGTGCCATGGCACCTGCAGGCACAGTGTTGAGAACTCTAAGGACTCTAAGGACATCCCAATGGAAAGGGGATGGACTAATACTGCTGTCAATGAGCACTCTGAAAGGGATAGGAGATACTAAGAAAAGGAAAAAAAAAAACCTCTATCCAGGGAACCCTTGCTGTCAGATTGAATAATGCTCGTGGAAGAAACATTCTACCACATGAAAACAAGTGGATATGCTAATAGAATGAAATAATACATATCTGGAAGAAAGGATCTATGAAGTCATTTAGTCTATTTGCCTGCCACTACATGACTGCTCCTAATTGCACATTTATGAGCATTTTAAACAGCCCAGCTTTACATTTTCTAATTTGTTTTCCACCAATCTAACCCAACACGTTGCAAGGAAGTGTTTCCTGGTATCTAACCCATATTTTTCCTCTTAGTTTCATACCATCATCCTCAATCAGACCTTTTATTATGCTTAATAGCCTCCTCCCCTCTATTCTTGCATATATGGTATATGCATTTACTCATGACAAAAGTGTTTGGACTTATGACTTCTTAGTTACTGCTCAGCCAATCTAAACACATTTGACCTTTAGTCTCTTCATATAAATCAGTACCTCCAAACCCTTAATCATTTTTCCCACTTCCTAACCTCTCTCCTATTTGTAGCTTTCTAGTAACTTAAATAACTGGTTTTAAGCAACAGGCTACATTCATATCACAGCACCAGATACCTTTGCTGGTGGAATCCTTCCATGAAATAGTATATGGTACTAAAGTAATAAAACTCCAAATGCTGAGACTTTTGCACCCTGAATGTTGGAACTATATTTGGCAGATACCTAAGGAGTTGATTTATACCCACCAGCATTTTTAGCACTTCTTATGCTAATAAAAGTGCCATCAATCTAAAATTGCAGCTTTCAAGTTGCATTGTAAACCCACCCTGGGCTTCTTTGGTTAGAAGATAGACCACCTTTAAAAAAAGAAATTTTAATGGCCCAAATTCTCATTGTAACCTCACCAGCAATCAGCTCCACTGATTTCTGTTTTAACTTGATCAACTGGAATAATTCCTTATCAAAGGACTACTGTACAGCATTTATTCCTATCCACAGCTTTAGCATGCTATAATTTCAGAATGCAGCAAAATAATTTGTTTAAATTAAATGTACAACCTTCCTACTCATAAAGCTTAATTTCTGAATCAAGAGCTTTAACTTATTGATGTTGTCATCTCTTTACAATTCACATTCAAACCCTCTTAATCATTAGCACCTTGTGTAAGCAGACCAAATTAAAATCGTGAAAGAAAAATAACCACTTTAAATTCACTTGTGGAAGAACTGTTAAGAATCTTTAAGAGAAAAATACAAGAAGTAAGCAGAAATTGAGACGGCATCAAAAAAGTGGAGTCAAGTACTATCAAAGACTCCAGTGATGAAGCAAACATCGGTACTGTTATGAGAAATCTTCCTGAAAAGATTAGACAAGAGTTGGGTTATAATTTATTGCCATTTTTGCATTCCTTATTTACCAGGCCCTTAATTTGAAAACAATATTCTGTTTAGTTGTTTGCAAAACCTAATAAAGAATGCAACAACTCAATGCATGAATTCAACACTGGATTTTTAAAGTGAATGTAGTAAAAGTAGTGGGCATCACAATCATAATGGAATGACTTACACTTATAGATTCATCTGTTTCAGGGGTTTCTGCTGTTCCACTGTCATAGTTAGCCAGCTGAGCTATTTCTAAAACCAAAAGTCAGAAACTTTATTTCAGAACACATACAGCAGACAGAAGCAAAACAGAAACCTGCAAAAAGTCATTTTTCTAAAAAAGGATTGATGGGTGCTATGTTATCTACATCAGGTGTTAAATAACTCTTGAAGTGTATAATATTTGCATGAATCTGTCACAAAACCGAAGATGCATGTATAATGTCATGGACTGCTGAAACCATGCAACTGTATTTATGAAGCTTTTCTGTGAGCTGGGCACTGAGGGAAAACTGCCTCTATGGGCATTTTTACATGCGCTCTAGGATGTGGCACTGGCCACTTAAATTAGTGTGCCCTGTTAATTAAAAGTTCCCGCGCATCATGTGTATCAGCATCCCTGCGTGTCCCCATGCTGGAAAAATGGTGGCAGAGTGCTTTGAACTTATCGAACATACTTCATTTCAAAGCACCCCATCGCCATTTTTTCAGCGCAGAGCCGCACAGGGAAACTGATACATGTGATGTAGAAGGCTGCCAGAACGTGTCAATTTCCACGCTACAGAAGACTTGATTAATTGAGTCTGCTTTGTCTGCTTCGATTTCCAGCACGTTAGAGCAGACTCTGTGCATGTCTATAGGAGCCCTATGTGACTGCAAATTCAGGGAGACAAAACTCATATCAGCCCCTGCTCTTGTTACCTATATCTGAAAGTCACAAAGAAAAGAAGCTACCTTGGCTTGCAAGCTTCTAGTTTAGACTGATAATGATTATAAGTGCTGCAAACTTTCTGCACACAAAAGCTGAAGTACTGAATAGGATGGGCAAAAACCTGTTAAAACCCATTTAGAACCACAACTCTTTAAGGGTTTTAACAGGTTTTTTCCCACCCCATATCTACTTCCCTGGGAAATGCTAAGATCTCAAGGACCTCGAAGTTATCTGCTTGTCTCTCAGCTTCAGACTGTCCTGTAGTTCCTGCTAACTCTGTGGATCTAGACACAGACACTCCCCAGGGTAATACAAGCTGTATTAACTCTGAACTAAAACACCCTGGGAAGCTTAGTACTACTTTAATCATATTCATAGTTAATCATACAGCTTACATCACTAAAGATACACATTTTAGTTTATAATCATTTCCTGGGGATTTCAACATTTTTTTATTTTATTTTTATACTTCAGCATTGTTAAAAGAAAATATAAGTTCCAAGGGCAAGGGTATATTTATATACATTAACCAGACTTTTATAAATTTGAATATTTATAACTGAAATATTATTGGTTTTAAAAGGGTTTGTTTTAACCACCAAAACAAATGTCAGTACACATTTTTTGGGGGGAGAGGGGGGGGAATTATTAAAGATTTTTGAAAGTTGCTTTCATGCGCAGTTATTGTATTTTAAATATAGATAATCTTGTTCCTTAAAAGCAACACACAGAAGCAACAAGTTCATAAAATATATGTACCAGAAGTCTCTAAATCGTTACTTTGATCAAACAAAGATTTTTTGAGCATTACAGAAATACAAAAAAAAAAAAAAAAAAAAAATCAGCCAAGGGAAAATGTCAATAAAATAAAACAATAAAAACTATTCCAATTTTTAAAAATCTCCTGGAATAAGGCTTATTATGCCAACAAGATTCAAGTTGGAGTGAATTTTACTGCCAAATTATAAATATGGGGGTTTGTAATGGAAATAGTGATGCATCCTTTATTGGATGGGGGAGACAAAAGCCAGAATAATGTAGTTTGACAACCTTCTCAACCCAAATTATTTTCATAAATGACAAATTAAAAATGGTTCCATTTTAAACAGAACTTTTGCAAAATAACCATTATCTGAGAAATACATATTATTTGCAAACAGTAGGTAGTAATGGAATGGAACCAACAGTCAGCTTTTGAAACAGGGAGCTAAGGAACCATTTTGCAATGCCTGAAGAGATTTTTAAAACTCATCTAAATACCATTAAACATCTGCCCTTTTTATTTCATTGATTTAGACCATTTCCAAAGACTCATGATTCAAAAAGGTAAAGATGGTAATTTAAAAGCCATGGGGAAAAAATCTCTCCCCAGGGAACTTTTCAGAAATGCTGCCACCAGGCTCTGATAAGTGATAAATCTGTTGTGGTATTGCTTTCAGTACAGTATAAATTTATCTGGCATTATCTCCAAGTAATGCATGCACCATCTCTCTCAAAGGAAAGATTCTACGGCCATCACAGCAAACCAAGGGGGAAAAAAAAGGGAAGAAGGCCCTAAAGCAGCAGGTTCTCCTTCAGTGGGGCTGAATTCTTTGCATGAACATTTACCAACATTGTATACATAATTTAACAGCTTTGAAATCCAATTTAGTAATTCAGTATGACATTTCTGAATGAAATCAGCTGTTACTATCATTTAAATATTTTCTCTGTACAAAAGTTACAGAGCTTCCAGCAGAATGTTTTTGCATAACACTCAGCCACTGTAATGGTTTATTCAAACATTTTTAACGCCAGTAAATCAAGCATACATTTTCACTGCTATAATATTTTTAAACTAAAAGTTTGGTTAAATATATGAATTTTTTAAAAATATTTTTAAAAATCCATTTATACCATTAAGGGCTTTTGCCCACAACAATCATCATTTTAAACTATTTATATTTCCATCTTTCTGTGCTAGGCAGATTGTTTAATCCAAAATAATCCTTTGACTAGATTATTTGATAATAAACTACATACCATATTAACCTTTAAAAAGATGCACAGAGAAACCTACTTATTTTAATCTCCCAATTAAGCAAAAGTCAGTAATCTGCCTAGCCCAGTAATTCACATTATCTACTGCAATGCCATTTAGCCATTTTTTCCTGTTAAATCTGAATAATTCTACAGCCTTTCAAACATGAATACTTATTTAATAAAAGATATTTTCAAGAGTATTCTAGACTAAGCAGTCAAAGAAAGTAAATATTTTTGGACAAAAATTATCCCCTTCACATCTATAATTTTAATTTATATTTGGTATTTGTTTTTGTATGTCCCTTTCAGTACATGATTTGGAGACATTAATAGAAGTAGCTTCCTGAGTTTAAATAGGTCCAGATCCTTTATTAATGCAAAGAAGCATATTATTTCATAGGCAGTTAAACGGAGCTATTTGTGAAATAAACTGCCATACTGCAAATGGCAGAATCTGACTTAGATGATCCAAAACTCACAAAACAGCCTCCCAACAGAAAAATCAACTTCTAATTCAACGCTCACACGTGAACAGTAGAAACATAAGGATTTATCACACCAGATTATACCAGCGGTCTACCTCGTCCAATATCTCATGGTTCTTTGTGTTACAATAAGCTGACACACTTTATAATTTTTTATTCTTTTCCAGAGAACTGTGGGAGAATGTTTTTTCCCTCCTTAGCTTCCAGGAGATGTGGGCAGACACTGATGGACTCTAAGCATTTCCGTGTTTTAGCACCTGCTGCAGAAATGAATGTTACTAGGCCAATTAAAAGCAGCAGCCTATATAAAATGCAGGTCTCCAGAGGGGTTTGAGCATGGAGGTAAAAACCTAAGTAACAGTCCAATTTAACTCTGAAGCAACTAAGTGTGACAAAACACACGTGTGGATGGGCTGGGGCTGGCTGGGACTGGAGCATGAGGATGCTATAGTGTGGGGCTGCCTGCCAGCTAGCCCTGCACTGTAGTACCCTTGGGTCCCAGGCAGCCCTTCTGCCACCACCCAAAGCCTGGGGCTGACCCCCCCTGCTGCCAGCCTAGGGCTGCACTGCCCCAGCTCAAACAGCTGCAGTCCTGGGTGCACGTGAAGGTACTGTGCCCAGAAGCAGCTGACTCTGATGTGAACTGTGCTGGAGTTTATTGCTATGTGCTCATGGTATATGTAGATGCACCCTGTACCTACTAAAGAAGAAAGAGACAAGTGTCCTGGAGGAGACTTACAAAAACCAAGCTTCCTAACTCTTAGTTAGATGTCAGTTTTTATGCCCTTCCAAAAGTCCTGAATTTTTAAAATATCTTTACTATCAAGCAGTGGTCATGTGCGTGTTATCTGCATAAATGTCTTTTCTTTAAATGTGCTGAGCTCTTGGTCTCAATGATTTCTAAGCATGTATTATGTAAAAATATATTTCTTGTTATTGGTTTTAAATTCACTACCTTTTAATTTAATCATATACACTAGAGTTACTGTATTATGAGAAATAATGCTCCTGAAATGATGTTATGAGAAATGAATATCATTTTCTGATTTATTTTTTGTTGATCAAACTCTCTCTTTATTGGTTTCATTTATGGCAAGCAATCCTGGCCTATAACAATATTACTACATTCTTCTTTTCTTTCAATAGTCTTCTTCTTGACTCTCAGTCTGTAGTGCTTATGGACACTGAACCTCAACCAATCTCCTCAATGCACTCTGAAATTTAACAATCCCGTTTAATCTCAAGGATATAAAACACTGGATGGGAAGCTCTAGCTTCAAAATGGAGGTGGAAATATTAAGAGTAAGAAAAAGGTGCAATTAATTTAGCCTGATACTCACCACCCATAAAACAAAAGCCAGGGAGTAACAACTTTTCTGTAGTAAACCAGAATTATATAGACTCTTGAGTCACCCTAACCAAGTCATCATTGTCATCCAAATCATACAGGACAATACAACTTTATGATTGTAATACTAAGTACAAGAAAGTCAGCACATGCCTTCTCAGGGAAGCTAAAGTATTGTAAAACTAGAACACAACTAATAAAGGACCTTTACCTTATCCAGCCAGGTCCCAATTATAGACTGAGCCTGTTGATATATACAGATTTATACTGGCAAGTTGTTTTAGGGGAATTTGTATCAGTAATAAAACACTGTGAAGAAAGGCAACTTTAGGAGATGCTAATTTACATGGAGTAGACAAGTTCAGATCATTAAACTAGTGAAATATAGTATTGTTGCCATGCTTTTGCCAACACTACTGAATGCACACAATGTATCACAATGACCAACAAATCTAGGAAAAAGCATTCAGTGTCTTATAATCTTGATTTGAGAGTAGATGGCTGAACCACAACAAGTACTTACCTTCTAGAGGATCCTTATTCAGACCCAACTGGCTTATAATGTATCTAGGGATGTCTGTTTTAATACCCTGTCCCTCTTTAGCATGTCCTTCAGCTGCTTCCAAAAGATAGTAAAATTCTTCAGGATCAAATTCCTGGAAAAGAAGAATAATACTCATCACAATTTTCCTTGTAGCTGTGCCCTTATAGTACAAGTCAAAGCTTCCTTTACATTTCTTGTGGTGTTCTTTCAATGCTTCCCTTATTAAGAGCACTCCTACATGATTTCATTTGTAGTGGTCCAAAACACCATAGTATCATATTGTAACCCATCGCCTTTTTGATTATTTCCGAAGATTCTACTCTTGCAAAACACTGAAATAAGGTTTTGTTGCTGTTTTTACACCACACTTTATATAATGCTACCAGAAGAACAATCTATACTTATCAACTATCAGTGCAGACAGTGATTATGTTTCACACCCAGGAATCAACATATCCTTGCAAGGCATGATATAAAATGATGCACCATTTATACAAACAAGAGGGGAAAACACATTCCAGATACCTTACTACTTCTAAATGCAAGTAAAAGGATCAAACTGTAGGGAGGAGATGTTATTATTAAAGAAAATTAAATTAAATAAATCATCAGCTCTAAATCACAGGAATAAGACTATGATTGAAAATCAATGGTAATGCCGAAGTGATGTTGTTACCATGGTCCAGGAAATGAGAGGCAAAGGATATTTGCGGGAGGATCTCTTTTACTGGACCAACTGCATGGCTGAGAAAGATTTTTGACAAGCTTTCAAGCACAAAGTACTCTTCTTGAGGTCTGAGAAAGAAGTAGAAACAGCCTGAGCTATAGTCAAAGGAAGAGCTATAGTCATCCTCAACTGTCAAGACTATACCAATGAGGCTAACAGACAACTTTTTGACACCAACTAACTATTATAAGAACTTGGGGAAGACCTCACACCAACAGTTGTTCTTGAACTGGGAACAATGATCAAATTCTTTTCATATCAGCTTCAGGAAAAACTGCTCTCAAAAATTCCCCACTCTCCCACCCCTGGCACATTTTATATGAACCCAAAAATTCACAAACCAAGTAACCTTGGCAGACCCAGCATATTCAAGTGCAGTACCCTCACCTAAGAACTATTCCCAGAAAACATCATATAACCATTTGTCATTCAAAAAGCAAGTTTTCTAGAAGAGAAAACAGATTTTCTCAACATGATCTATAATATCAACTACCTTCCAAGAAGGCCATACTTGAAACCATGGATGTTACCAACCTGTACATTAATACCACACCATGAAGGCACAACTGCCTGCCTGAAATATCTATAACACAGACCACAAAGTTTCAACCACAACTTATTGCATGGATCATTCACTTCATCCTAACCCAGAACAACTTCAACTTTACCAACTGACACTTCCCTCCAAACCACAGGAACAGTTATAAGCACTAAGATGTCCCCTCAATATACCAACCTCTTCATGAACCACTTGAAAGAGGGATTCTTAGAAAAAGGCACCATCAAACCTGCACTATATCTGTGTTACATAGACTATATTTTCATCACCTGGACTGAACGCACTAACCTACTTGATTCCCATGACAAAAAGATAGGCCTCAGAGAATCTAGGATACCTAGCCTCTTCTAGCCCCCTAACTTTAAGCTCTTTTTTGTATTGTCTAAATAGACCATATGCCAGGGGAATTGTAGACGTTAAAAAGTAAAGTTATCCCGAACAAATTCTTTCTTTTAAATAAGGGGTGTCAAACCTATGATCTGTGGGCCAAATCCAGCACACACAGCTGGGTCATCTGGCCTGCAGACTTTGACCCAAAACTAGCTGCAATGGAAGATCTTCCTCAGGTGGTAGCCAAGTGCCTGGGTGAGAACTGTGGTACTGGGGCCTGAACATCACTGTGGGAACAAGCAGGGCACTACAACTTCTTCCTGAAGTGGCAGGTAAGCACCCAGGCAAACACCCATGGGGCTGAAGCCCCAGCAGCATTGCGGGACAAGCCAGCAGCTGTAGTCAAGCAGCCACGTACTGAAACTACTGTACATCCAACTACTGTAACTGCAGCAGTAGTCAAGCACCCATGAGACCAGACTTCTTCTCATGGTGCTGCTAGGGCTCCAGCATAGCTGCTCTCTCCAGGGCACTTGGTTGTAACTATGGGAAGAAGCTAGAGTGCTGCTGGGGCTCTGGTGCTGTGGTTCTCACCCACTGGGCTGCCAAACACCTGAGCAAAAGCAGCAGCACTGGAGCCCCAGCAGCACCACAGGAAGAAGCCCAGCACCATGGCTTCTTCTCACAGCTGTAGCCAATCTCCTGGTGTGCCAGGCTTCTTCCTGCCAGGTCCCCAACTGGCTGGAGCTGGCACCCATTCTAGACTGGCCTGGCACGGCACTGCAAAAGCACAGTTCCAAATTGGCTGGATACACTGGATCCATCCTGCAGTGCCAACGCAGTCGTATGCCGTCTGTGGGTCCTATCCAGCCCTTGGGGCTGGTCCCATGCTACTCCCCTGGCCTGTGGAGCCAGATGAGTTTGACACCCCTGTTTTTAAATAAAAAGCTTGCTAACTTCAGGCCTTCTCAAACCAAAAATCTTTCCTATGCCTAGCATGGCCTATTTTATATATGCTTTACATTCTTTAGCAAACATACTCTTTTGCCTACCATAAACCATTGCAGGATAAACTGCATTAGAACTAGGTCTGATTGAAAATTTCCCAGTGGAAGGTTTTATAGGTGTAAAATGCTTTTTCAATAAAACTGAAATATTTCACTAGAACAAGTCAGTTCTGTCATAACATTTAAATGAAACCCAGTAGGCAGGCTTGCAAGGTCACTGGTTTCCCTTCAGCTGATGGACTCCAGGGCTCTCCACCTGCATTAACTCCACCTACTGAATAATGAAGCCAGGAAGCTCAACAGACAACTATGCAGGTAGCGTGGGAATTTAAGGAACACATTTTGTTTTGGAAACACCTAAATGTCCTTTACTACCCAGGGTTTATCACACGAATACCCATGCCTCACTGCCCAGGCAGCAGCAACATTTGAATTTTAAATGCAGTCAGAGGATAAGAAATCTTTCTTTTTTTTTTTCTTAAAAAAACAACAACAAAAACCAAAAAAACCCCAACCACCCCCCTGCACACACACACTTTTCATGGAATGGAAATTCTGTTTCCATCCAGCTCAGGACAGAACACCAGCTTCCAACCCCAGCAAAAAAAAAATCCGAACTCTCTTAATTAGTTCAGAGTCTCAGGAGTAGTGAACTTCTATTTTATCAAAATAATCACAGGAAACAATTCAGTGAAATGACAAATAACCAAATAACACGCTGCAGTAATCTTTCCCAGTAGCCTGACAGAAACCAAACTCTTGCTGTCTGAGGCAAGCCCAAAGCTCAGGAGTATGTTTATATTCTGGGCCAAAAGGATGCACTGTTTTAAGTATGAATCCAAACAGGCTATATGCTTGGAGAAAGCCACAGAGAATTCCACTAAATATATACATTTTCTAGATTTAGAAAAGCACCGACCAGTTTCTGGACACATTTTTAATATCCCTATAACTTCCTTACCATCAAATGAATGTCCAACGCCACTGAATTACTGGGGTAAGACTAAGAAAGAAAACAGTTTCATGCCCTGAAGATAAAAATCAACAGGGAAGCAGGTCTTCAAAATAGGTTTTTGCACTGATCCTACCAATGCTGACATAGCTATTCTCACAAAGAGAAAGAGGGTCTCCTTTGGATAGTAAGGGTATAAGCCATATACATGAGCAACATCACTTTGAAGCAAACAGAATTAGTAGTCACTGAAATCCATGGCCAATCAAGTGGATTGTTCTGTTAGTCGCAACTTGCATGGAACTGTAAAGTTAGGCCAATGCAGGACATTCTGGATTAATAAAACTGAATGGCATAAGAACATGGATAGCAAATGATTTAAATAAATTGGGAAGGTAGTGGGGGAATAAAAGAAAAGACTTCTGGGGTCATTATTGCCTTTTCAGGTTCTAAAAGCAATCAGGGTTTAATCCCATCCTCCCCCCTCCTAACTCAGTAGTTACACAGGATAAATATGTGCTCTTTAACATTAATTTCAGTTGGATATAATTAGGTGTGGAAATGAACCATTTCACCTTTCTTCCTGCATTCAGAAACTCCCTGATGCTTCAGTACATATAACTTCCTACCCCAGCACCACCCTGTAGTTTGAATCGAGCACTATACACTAACTGCTATCTTAGCTTTCTTCTGTCAGGCTCATTTTATGTGTTGACGTGTTTCTCAACTAAGCTACTTATATCTCACCCTTTGGCACTCTAAAAAGTGTAGCTAACAATGGCAAATGTGCCAAAGAATTCTATCTCTCATCATGAAAAAAATATTTCCTTCCTAGCTGCATTAACAGCAGAAATACTGTAAAGCCTCATCTCCATGCGTTAACAAAACAGGGCACTTTTAAGCTAGCTAACTGTAACCAAATTAAAATATATTCAATTACAAGCATGTACCTTCTGGTCTCTGGTTTTAATCCTATATTATCTTCCTCAGATATATGTATAAAGAAACAAACCTTTACAATAACCCTTTAAGCATTTAGCAGCAACTCAGAGCACTCTTAGCCTGGCAGGAAAAACTCTTCTCAAATAACTAAGAAATGAATACAGACAGGTTATTATATACCATGAGCCTGAGCATGACAGACATCTAGGCTAGAGGCATTATATATAGGATTGGTAGCATTGCCTTAAGTGTGCCTTCCACTTCCCATGACATTTCCTATTACAAGATCTTTTCATTTGCTTATAATTTTGCAACCATAACTGAAATTTTGACTGAAACTTTCCATGCCCAGTGTCTGCCTCACACTGATTTTTTCTAAAAATATGTCAGGCCATAATTATCTAGCCCCTCCCCAGTATAATATAAAGAGAAAAAAAGATTTTTTTAACTCAATATCAAAACAATTCCAGCAACCTTTATTGTGAAATTAATATTAAAGCATTTTGTGCCAGAAGGTGCATCTATACTCCTATTTAAGGCCAACATCCAGATTCAGCCTTTCCTAGTTTAAACCACAAGCGCCACCCCTCCCCATCTACATTATCCTGGCACTCTTATACCCAAAACACAGAAGGAGAGACAAGCAACAGGCAGACCAATCTGCAGGAGGGTTCTTGTTGAGCCCTCCCAGGAATCCTTCTGGTCACCAATTGTTTCTCCTACTGTGCTTGGCTGCAATTACAGGTAAAAGAGACAGGAAGTGGAGTGTAGAGGAGCTGGTGAACTTCCTGTACTTGTGAACATTGTCTGATTTAAACTTGATTTCAGATCTCATTGCTCAGGGTCCTTACTACTTTCAGGGTCCTGGCTGTACAAAATGAAGCCAGGAAGCCCCAACACAGTAAGGATGCCCTGGATCTGATAACCAAAGAAGCTTCAAGTTTATCAGCCCTAAGCCACTCCTATGATTGAGGAACCAGGAAACCTGCACTCCCCAGCAACCTGTCAGGAACCACAGGCTTCCCAGAGAAACATGCACATCCAATAGAATTCTACTAGAATCCTGACTACAATTCAACAAAGATTTTCTTATACCTGAGATGTGCTTACAAGAAATTTGGATTAAATTAAATCAGCTTGATTTTTCACAGGAAACCTTAATTCTGGCATTTCCTGCCTTTTGAATGCTTGATTTCGCACCTTTTTATATATTATGCATACCAGAGGTGCACCGATGTACTGGTGGCATATAGGATCAGCACCGGTAAAAGGAAAATTAACATTATTGGCAATCACCTTTTTTGGTCTGGTGTGGCCAGTAACGTTACTGATAAATGCCATGTGCATGTTCGTAGCCGCAGCATGCATGCGGCCAGGACTGCAGCCTGGCAGCTTAGCGAGCAGCATCTGGCTGGTAAGTCTGTGGCAGGGAGTGGGCTTGGAGTGTGGGGCAGATTGAGGGCCCGGTGATGGAGGGAGTGGGGCAGGGGCAGGGGGAAGTGCTGTCCAGCTGGGATGATGAATACGACCCCAGGAGTGGGAAGGAGCTGCTGGCAGCTTGTCCAGGAGGTGCAGGGAGGGGGCAGCTCTCCACCTGCGTGCACCGAGGAGAGGCATGGGGGGCATTTGCCCCCCAGATTTCTGCACAGGATGACAGCAGGCTGCCCAGTGCAGGCTTGGGGGCAGAGGCTGCATCAGTCTCTTCCCCGGTGGGGGCCTGGGCCAGGGCTGTGCTCAGGAGGGCAGGTGGTGGCTGGGAGGGGTGGCTATGGCAAATTTTGAGGTGGCTGTAGGCAACTCCATAGCCACCCCTCCCAGCATCGCCACCATCAGCTCTGCCCCCACCCACCCCAAGCGCAGCCCTGGCCCAGCCCATCCACCAGGAAGAGGCTGGTGCAGCTGCTGGCCCTGAGCCCCCAGCAGGCAGCCCGCCCTTGCCGAACATGTCCCCCATGCCTCCACTAGGGGTGCACACAGTAGTGGGGAGCCACCCCTTCTGTACCCTTTGGATGCCCCACCCGTGGTTCCATCCCACTCCTGGGGTCGCATTCACCGCCCCGAATGGGCAGTTCCTGCCCCTGCCCCACATCCTCCCTCACCATAGGGGCCTCAATTTGCCCCCCACCCCCACAGATTTACTGGCTGGACGCTGCTCTCCAAGCTGCCAGTCTGCATTCCTGTAAATGGGCTATTGGATCGGTATCGGCTGATATGGCTGGTTAATAATTGGCCATCAGTATCGACTAGGGGAATCTTTATTGGTGCACCCCTAATGCATACCCAAGTTTTATTAAAGATCAAGCAGCACAGATAAAGTATTTTAAATGACACATGCTAATGGAAGTTGACAGCATGCTGCCAGCTAGGGTCCCAAACTAAAACTAAAGTTGAATTTATTCCAAAGAATAAAACGTGTGTCTGGCTTTTAAAACTACTTTCAGTACCACACCACAAGCAGTCATACTTTCTACCAATAACAAAAAAGAAACCTAATTACAGAAATCATCAACTCACCAGACATTCCAGTAAGCGAGCAGGACGAGCAATAACTATTAGGATTTTTCGAACTAGTTGCTTAATAAATGCCAGTTCTCCACTTTCTGATCGTTCTTGACCCTATAAAGTTAAAGAATTATTAAAATATGGTATATTAAATATGCAAATGATGAAAATCTGTTAGTTCACACTTCAGTTTATATAGCAGATCTCTGTCCCATTTTCTGGGCAACTTCTATGTGAATCAGTATTTTGTCAAAAGTTATTAGAATGAAATATGAACAGAAAAATAATTAGGAACACTGTAGCAGAAACAGCAGCAATATTTCTACTAGAAAACAGGATTTTCAAGGTATAAACTTCTGTTTGTCTGAAATCACACTAGGCAAAAAATATGGTACATATATGTTATCATCCTAGAAGGCACTACATTTTTAACCCAAATTATTCTAATAAATACAGATGCTTTCTACTTAAATAGTAGCTAAAGCATAATTTTGGGAAATGTTCAGTGATTTGGTCAAACCCATATTCTCCTACCAATAGAAATCTTGATAAAAATGACTTTTTGTATGAGGCTTTTATAATGTGACTTAAACGTCTTTGATTTTTTTTAAAAGACTATTGAGGATCCAGGAAGATTTAGTTTCAGCGTGCCTGTAAGAGTAGCAGTATCTTAACATTCATTTTTCATCATAATCTCAAAGCGCAGTTACTACACACATAGGTGATGTGGTTAAAAACAAGTGTGTAACATAATGTAATCAAAGTAAACATAGTACAATCAATTGACTGCAACTTCAAACAGTATTTGATAGTGTTTCCTTTTATGTTTTGACTTACATAGTATAAAAACCACTTTTACCTCAGAAGTTGCTACATCTTCCTGTAAGACCTAATGTTTCGTTGTACAGTTATTTCCCCATCAGTTTATTTAAATCAATCCTAATATATGTAATCTACAATAAGTACTAGCAAACATAAGCAGCCTCCAGGTGATATGGAAGCTGGTTTCTTGTAGCTAGATGATCATACTTTTTTTAAATGAAAAACACCAAGATGTACAAGAGACCACACTAATGCATGCAGAGACATATCAAGTGCAGACACATAAAAATATATGAAGCAAATAGGAAATAAGGTCCTATATGATAATGATAAAGAGTATTGATGTGAAAGAATCTGTATGACAGAAAATATTTATCTGAAGGGCTCTGAACAGAATTTTCTCAAGGGCCTAAATTCAATTTTAAAATTCTTTCAACTTTTCTGTCTAACAGCAAAGACTAGGCTGCAAAGGACCCAGTGACCGCAATATGCTTTCTTCTGGTGAAATTATACTGATACTCCTTTGTTTATATAACCAAAAAAAAAAAGGTTTCTTTTTGTTTGAATAAAAGAAGGTACTGCATAAAGTTCAAATCTCATGTATTCCTTATTCTGTGTTATGTCCATGCATTCAAGAATGGAACGGTAAGTAAAATAAACCAACATTAATATTTAGAAGTGCTATCTACGGACAAATATTCAAAGTATTTCTTCACTTATGTATTTCCAGTTGAAAAATCCATGATAAACTAAGATAAATGGCAAGCACATGTTTAACACCAGAATTTTTAAAAAAGTCACAACAAAAATAGTTAGCTACTTGTACAATTTCAGTGAAAATGAACAAAAATTCACCATAAGGTCACCACCGTTAATTCTGAGAGAACTCTAATAGGAGACAAACACTTGTATTCTGTCAGAGTTCATTCAAAAGGCAGAACTTTTACAGAGTAAAGGTATCTCTATTTTAATCATTGGCCAAAATAAAAGCAATATTTAAGTTCTGTGAGTAGTTAGGTATGTGCGGAAACAGAAGCTTCCACAGGAGGGAAAGAAGAGTAAGCCAAGAAAGCATTCAACTTGCCCTTGACAAAAATGTCAGTGAAATCAAGCGGCTCAAAGCTCAGGGGACTCCTCCCTGGTTATGCAAAGCAATCCCAATGTACCAAGCAGCAGCAGGAGATGCATCTTTCCACAGCTGGGATGTCACAGTTGGGAACTGACAACCAATGCATCAAAAACCAAACAAAGCAAAGCAAAGCAAAGCAAAGCAAACCCAAAAACATGTTGCTCCAATTTAGTTCCACAAAAGAAAATGTCTCCTTGTAACGATGTTATGCCACTAGCTTTTGATGGACATTGTAGAAATGGCTAGTTTTAGGCTAGTGACAAACATTCAAAAAGCCTGAGCCTGAACTGATTCAATTTTCGCAGGTTAGTCTAACCTGCAAAGTTTGAACCAATTTGGATGGCGATAAATGTTCCCTTTTCAGTGCAGAAATGTAGGCACATGCTGCAGTGGCTCAGGCTAGAAGCCG